TGATTTTAGGACTTTTAGGGGTGCTAAATCTAACAAGTTTGATTGGAGAAATTTAGAATTTGAACATTTTTTTAAATGATTTCATAGCTTTTAAAGCAAATTTACTAATCACCGTGTAAAACAATTGAAAGAATTTTTGTTGGACAATGTAACCAAGACTCTCCTTCATGTGAATCTAGAAAAATATATATGTTGAGATGATATAAATATCTTTATTAACTTTAGCAATTAATTCTAATAATTTAATAGCTAATCCCTATGTAAGTTAATTCAACAAATTACAATTAAGTGTTTTGTGTATATTTATGTAATTCTTATGTAAATTACTATATTTTAATATAAATTTAGTATAGAAAATATATATATTTTATTTATCAAATGTAAAAATATTCTATACAGTTTTTTCACTTTTATATAGTTAACTGTGAACAATTAAAAAAATCACAAAAGAAAATTTATAATTAAATAAAACATAATATGAAAAAAAAAACATGATGTGAAAAAATTAAAGAATGATTTTAGGACTTTTAGGGGTTCTAAATCCAACAAGTTTGATTGGAAAAATTTAGAATTTGAACAATTTTTGTAAATGCTTTCATAGGTTTTAAAGTCATTACTAATTACCTAAATCCAACAAGTTTGATTGGAAAAATTTAGAATTTGAACAATTTTTGTAAATGTTTTCATAGGTTTTAAAGTCAATTTACTAATTACCCTGTAAAGCAATTGAAACAATTTGTGTTGGACAAAGTAACCAAGACTCTCCTTAATGTGAATCCAGAAAAATATCCATGTTGAGATGAGATAGATGTCTCGGTAAAAGCAAAGCATACTACAACTTGTCATACAAAAGATTTGTAGCAACTTGTCGTATTTGGTGTAAAAAAGATGACGAATCACTTTTTTAGGAAACTGTAGTGAATATTGATTCATACATACAAGCTAAAGATTTGTACCAAATAAAATATCTTCCATATGATGTAATTTTTAGTAATAAACGGTCTATTT